CCCCCCCCCCCCACCCCCCGTGGTCAATGAAACAACAACGCGACACCATCAGGTTTCACCACGTCCGCGTCCCGCGAACGAGCTTGCTTGGGGGCGTCGCGGTGGTGTCGCCGGAGGGGAAGTATTCCAGGGTCCCCGGGGGGCAGAAGCAGTCGTACGGCTCCATGCTCGCCGTCCGCGCGAACATCGTCATCAACGCCTCGAGGTCTCTTGCTCGAGCGCTCACAAGTGCGTAATTGGGGGGCGGGGGGGGAGGGCTTGCTCGTACGCTGATGATGATTGGCTCGTTGTGGACTTGACAGGTTTTGACGGCCGTATGACTAAAGATATCGACCCCCCTCTCTCTCGTACCACTCGGTGTACATATCGCTCCGTCCCGGCGTTGATGTAGGGATGCAAGGTCAATGCACTAACGACTACGGCATGCGTTTTCATGAGCACCCAGACACATAATGGCGTTTAGAAGCGTTTTGTGTTTTCAACCCCTCTGAGACTGACGTCTTCTCAGTGGTCGGTCGGTTAGCGCGGTCGACGCTATTATTTAAGACACTTACACACATCCGTCTTCGTGTTCCGTCGTTGTGCCCCCGTCCGTTGTCTGTCCCCGGTGGTATCGCTCTGAACAACCAGTCGCCTTTCGCTATGGTGCCGTGAGGACACAGGGTTACGACGAGAGAGAGGGCGCGTCGCCGGGGTCGGAGAGACAAGTAAACACGCACGGGCGTGTTTTTTATTGGGGCGATTGGCCGAGAAAAACTTTTTGTTACATTTTCATGTGTGTGTGTGTTTTTTTTTTTAGTAATCATAGTATCGACCATGCTAACCGGCTGACCAATGAAGGAACGTCAGTCTCAGTGCGGTTGAATACACAAAATGCTTGCATAGGTCACGATCTGGGACCTTTTGAGGGAGCATCATGGGGGAGTCTACGCTACCCTCCGGATCAAAGACGGATTCCTTGGCAATAACAGAAGAAAACCGCGCGTGCTCACCATGGCCGGTACTTCTTGGACGCGCACTCGTTTTGACTTGATTTCTTCATCGTCTTCCCGGCATGTGGCGTGTGTGTGTGTGTTGTTTTTGTTGTTCGTGTCATACGTGTGAGTCACCGCGGCGCCTCTTGGCAGCATCGTCTCCAATGCCGTATACGTGCTTGAGTTTCTCTCTCTCGCAAGCTATCTGTCTCTCTCTCTTCTCTCTCTCTCTCTCCCTCTCTCTCTCTCCCTCTCGCCCTCTCTCTCTTTCTCTCTGCCGCAAACCCAAACACCCATCGGTTGTGTATTTCTTTTCTCGTGCTTTGTGACGCCACCGGGTACCCTTCACCCACCCATACGCGTCCGTGACGCCTTAACCAGGTGTTGGACTACCCCACCCAACAGCGGGTCCTCTTGCCACTCCTGGCTCACGCCTACGCGCTCCACTTCGCCGGACAGCACATGAAGTCCGCCTTCCATTACTACCTCGACACCCAAGACGCGGAAGCTCTTCCGGACTTGCACGCCACAAGCGCTGGGCTTAAGTCTCTCGTAACGCAGGTGGGTGAAAAAGATGGGTCGTCGTACTCCCCCACATTAAGCATCTATCTCCTTTTTGTGCTCCTGGCCCCGTTTGCCGCGTCTCTGTATTTCCGCCTACTGCCGCCCCTTTCTCTGTAGTTGGTTGGTTCGCTCGGTGCCTTATCTGTGTCCTGCTCCACCCAAGTCCCCCAACCGTACGACCGCATCCTCTACCGTTACGAGCATTCTCCCCGCATCTTGTCCTTTCTCCCCGCATCTTGTCCTTTCTCCCCGCATCTTGTCCTTTCTCCCCGCATCTTGTCCTTTCTCCCCGCATCTTGTCCTTTCTCCCCGCATCTTGTCCTTTCTCCCCGCATCTTGTCCTTTCTCCCCGCATCTTGTCCTTTCTCCCCGCATCTTGTCCTTTCTCCCCGCATCTTGTCCTTTCTCCCCGCATCTTGTCCTTTCTCCCTGATCCCATCATGTACCATTCTGTTCGACAATACAAGGGTCATTCGGGCTATGGCGCGAATACCCCCCAATGGTCCCTATATCACCGAACAACGTTACTTTTTGAGTTGACTGTGTAAAACCACACCCACTCCCCGTACGCCTCTCCTCTCTCCCGGTCCAAAAATGGGACGGGTCGTGGGACGAAATGCGCTTCCTAACCGTACGCGCTGTTCCGTCCCATGTTAGAGCGTAGCGGACGGTATCGAAGCGGCCCGCAAGATGTGCGGGGGTCACGGCTACTCCCAGTTCAGCGGCCTGCCCGACCTTTCCTCGGGTTACCTTGCGCTCGCGACGCTGGAGGGCACCCAGCAGGTTCTGGAGCCTCAGACGGCCAGGCAAGCGAGAGCTTTTTGTGTGCACGCTGCTTGGCACGACATTGCTGCGTTGCAAGCGTGTTTGCCGTGCCTGATTGCTTGCTGAACCTTGCGTTGTATGCATGCATCGAATCCCTATCAGGGTACACACAGGTCGGGCGTTATTCCCCACCTCTGTTGTGTTTTCCGAAGAAGAGACTTCACGACCACTTTGTTCCCCTGCTTTTCCAAGGCGATTGACTCTTTTTACGCCCCCCCCCCAGGCATCTACTGCGCTCCCTCGCCGCGGCCCGCGAGGGCAAGCGCTTGAGCGAGGCGTTCTCATACCTCTCCCCGTCTCCTACCCAACAAGGCGCCGCAACCACGACCACCTCGCCCGCCGTGAGCGTGAGGATAGGCGCCCAACTCAGGAGGCCGGAGACCCAGCTGCGACTGTTCCGCGGCCGCGCCCGCGCAGCGGTGTTGGCGGCGGAGGAGGCGGTGCAGCGGGAGGGGCAGGGGACTGCTGGAGCAGGGGGGGGGGCGGCGGCTTGGCGGGAGGCTATGGTAGGGGCCGCGGTCGAGCTCGGGAGGTGAGAGCACCCGGGTGTTGCTTATTTGGGCGAATGGCTTCGTGGGGTTATTGTAGTAGCTGGGCAGCACGACGGTCTCACTGTTTGACTGGAGTTGCGCGGAAGGGATGTTCGCTTCTTTTTTTTCTTCCGGTTTGGTCGTTGGTGGGGTTGGACGTTGCGTTGTAAAATGTGGTGTATTCTTTATTTTTCGGGGGTTGGGAAACGTTTTTGCTGGATGCTCGGTGTCAGACCGTCCTGAAGTTGGGCTGGGCGGTGACGGCCGTCGGAAGGCAGCGGGTGTTCCTGTCCACCTCTTTGCCCTTGTCTGTTTCGTACGCTGCTGCCGAATGCGTGCCGCTGTCTCTCTCCATTGTTTCGACTCCGGAGGGAGCTAATATTCAAGATCGCGATCAGGGTCCTCTCCTCTGCTTATTTCTTCCTTTTGCACGTGGTGCTGCTGATCCTTCGCCGGTCAGAGCGACCCGCGCACACTGCCAGCTGCACCTCGTGGAGAGGTGCACGGCGGGGGTGGAGCAGCAGCGGGAAGCGGCGGCGGCGGCGGCGGCGGCGGCGGCGGCGGCGGTGGCGAGCGGGGAGGAGCTCAACACCCGCGAGGTCAACGTCCTGTCGTCGCTGAGGGACTTGTTCGCGCTCTCCATCGTCGAAGAGGTGCGCCTGCGCTACCGGCCTTCCAACAATAAGGGCTGTTACGGCGGTGAAGTTCTCTCGAAAAACAGCACACGCATGCACCCTGTTCGTTCGGTGCCGGCTGCTGTTCGTTACTCGTACGCTGTATGTGCATGCGAGCCAGGTGCGATAAACCATGTTTCTCCTTTCACCCGGCCTAGGGTTTTGTCCCTCGAACGACGCTGATGCCTCTGTGCGTGGAACTATATGGCGTCGTTCGCCCCCCCCCCCC